GGGAGGGAGGCAATACCCACACACACACACACACTTATGTGTTACCTGCTGTTTCCCTTCCGCCCCTCCCCAATGAAAGATGATGTAGTATTTTTCATGGGGTCATCTTGCCATGATCTCTGGCAAATCTTCATTCAATGCAAGCTTGACGGGATCTCGACCTCCGGTGACCCGCCGACTCCCCTCCGACTCCCTGGTGGGTCACTTCCAGTTGTTCTCTCGTTGTCCCCCCACCCACCCAGCTTTATTTTGCCGGGCGGGCGGGCGGAGCAAATACTCCTGGAGCTGGGCGGCGCAATGCTCACCTCCCCCCCCTCTCGATCCGAATGTTTACAGACGCAATTGATTGCTGACCTCTAGGATCCGACTTGCTGACCGAAACTGAATGGCACAAGTACCCACACTGCGCACCAGACACCAGGGCAGACGCCTTTTCAAGGCGCGCATCGGACACTGTCTGCGGCCCAAACATTGCACCAGCTGGATGGCTGACCTGCCGCACGCGGTGGATACAAGTATCTCCAGAGGCGCATCGGAATCCAGGGCAAGCGCCTGCCCGAGGCGCTCATCGAAACTGTTCGTGGTCCAATTCATTAAACAGCGCAGCACCCTCGCTCGACGGACGGAAAGGACATGCGCGCACTTGCGCACGCATGTTCGCAGGATGGCATAAAACACAATTTGTTTCGCATATGAAGTGCTCATGTGTTACCTGCTGTTTCCCTTTCCGCCCCTCCCCGATGGAAGACGATGCACTATTCTTCATTGGGTCTTATTGAAATAATATCTGGCATTTCTTCATTCAATGCAGGTTCGACGGGATCTCGACCTCCGGAGACCCGCCGACTCCCCCTGCACTCAGCCGTCTCCGCACGAGTCTCCCAACGAAACTTGGCAGCGGTACTCTCCGCACCTGGGCTCCCAAGGCGACGGGCAAATAATCGAACTTGCCCCGACTCGGCCCATCGGAACAATTGCTCGCTGATGGCACTCGGCTAAAATACGCGCGACTTCCGGCATGGTCCTCAGCCTGCCAGTGCTCGCCCAGGAGCCACACGCTTGTTGGCGACGGGCTGTATCCTTTGATCAACCCGAAGCGGGCGCTGTCATTATCGACGAATCCCAGCACGCTCCTGCCGGGATGCTTCTCGAAGACGCTGGCCCACTTGATCCTCGCAGCCAACATAAGCAAAATCTCGAGCTGGCCGATCAGCTGTTCGCGCCCAGTCTCGCGAGCCAACTGCTCCATCAAGACAAGTGGGATGTCGCGCCCGAAGGCATCCACCAACTTCGACACGGGATCGACCAGGACTGCCCCGATGCCCCCGCGAACCGCTCCGCCCACCAGTTCGCGCGCACCGTCCGTGAACAGGACCAGCGGGGGAGAGGCCCCAAGGCGGCGCACGCCGCGCGGCTTGGCAGCCGCCAGATACTCCAGCCAGCAGCGGAGAACTCCGTCGAGCACGCCACCCACGCCTCTCCCCTGGGCCTTGCCGTCCGCTCTCCCCCGGATGTGCCTCAGCCCAGCCGCGCCGCAGCGGCCGAATATCTGCGGCGATGCGAACTGCAGCTCGCCCACGAGTCGCGCTGCCCCCGCTGCGGAAGGCAGCGTGTCTGGAGGAAGTTCTGCATCGGCTCCGCGAGAGGCCCCCTCCTCTGGGCGGCGTTCGACACAACGAGCTAACGAGCTCGCCGCGAGTCATCGCATGGCCGAGGTCGAACAATACTCCCCGGGCAGGAAAGCGCACGTCGAACTTGCGGTCCTCGGCCTCTTTCAGCCTCCATCCGAGACCGCCAGCGCAAGCCTGGAACGCCCCCCCCCCATCCACTCGGAGAGGACCTTCGGCACCACAAACGGGAAGTCATCGAGATCATTGGTGATCGGCACGCTGTCCAACCTGATGGCACAGATTTCGAGGGCGGCCGCGGCTCGACTGAACCCCAGCACCGAGGCCCGGGCCCCGAAGGGCAAGGCGCTCGCAACGAAATACAGCACTTCGCCCGGGCGCTGGGGGTCCGCACAAGCAAACACAGCGCAGTCGGAATCGACAGGCGTAACAGCCAGCTGCTTGCACGGCTCCACAAGGTCGAAACATTTTCCGACCGAAACGTCGTCTTTCCACAAGTGGCGCCCGCGCAGCACCCGACCCGACTGCAGAGTCCAAGTCACGTCCTCCGGCCCGGCCACGAGGCGCGCCCACAGTTTGGCGACTGACGCCACCCCGTCGACCCCTTCCCAGGAGATCTCGTCCCGGATGGTGGCGGCGCCGTTCACGAAGGACGCCGCGAGGTCGTCGATGGGCTGCACCTTCTCGCCCTGGACCACACCGAATCGGCGGCTTGGGGCCCACCGGGGGCCGAGGACCTCATCCAGTTGGCCAGGCAAGAACGGCCCACTCGCGAGGCCCCGCTGCACCTCGACGCGAGTCTTCTCCAAGACCTCCGCGTCGATCCGGCGATCGGCGGCGCGGTGCTGGTTTGCTGCCGCAGCCTCGAGGGAGGCCCTGACTGCTGGCGCCTGCCCCAACAGCCACCGCTTTGGCCGGCCCTCCTCGACCTTGTCTGAGGGCTTGGGAGGGAAAGCCCCGCAGCAGCCGAAATCCCCGACGAGCCTGAAGCCAGTCGCCGCGTCGCTCGCGACGCCCGCGTCGGCGTGGCCCACGGACTGGAACATATGCTGAAAGACCAAAACGTTTTTGCCGCCCAGCACACCCTGCACCCGGGGGTGCATTTGCTCGTGCAGGCGACGCTCGGCATCGCGGAGAAATGCCGATTGATCCTGCCACTGCGCCTTCGTCGCGTCGAGCTTCGTCTTGATGTCCCCGAGCGGCGTGGTCAAGAGGTCGAAGACGGCCGCGGCCACGTCGTCGTCTACGGCGGGGGGAGCGTCGAACGGGCGCTTGGCGAGCAGGGCGAGGCCCAAAATCTCTCGGGGCGCCCACGGCACGCCGAAGTTCAGCCCGCCACACCCCCGCCAAAGGCTTCGCTGAACGAAAAGGAGTGGACCCAGCAGGCACGACGGCGCCATCGTGGAACTCCATGGCGTGGGCAATGGGCTCTCGCAGTCGAACATCGTCCTCAGTGAGCCCGCGGGAATGACCTTCTTGAACTCCGGGGCGACGTTGTGGCCGAGCTTGGACCTCTGGCGGCCGACAGGCACCCAGGGCGGATGGGCAGGCAGACTCCGAGGAGTCGCGCCCGCGCTCGGGCCCACGTTGCGCCCATCGTCCATGGCCCCCCTTTTGGCTAACAGCGCCTCGTCGTACTTGCTGGCAAGGTAGCACAAGTCCTCGTCGAAAGCGTTGGCAACGACGCTGCGCACGATGTCCGGGCACTCGCACTCTGCGACCGACGCCGCGCTCCAGCGGCTGCGAAAGCATGACCCCCAAGAGCTGCGGGCGTGACTCTTGTCACAGGTCGCACACATGGCGTCGGCCAACCACCGTGAACTGGCGAAGATCTTGGTGCTCTTGTCCCGCGTCCCGCCGTACATGCACCGCTGGAAGATCGCCTCGCGGACGCCCGGCAGCACCGCCAGCCTCTCCAGAGATGGGCGTTTCCAAATCCAGCTGCGGGCGGGGCTCTCAATGGCCCGCAGCTCGCCGCCCCCACGCAGCGTTGCGGCGGACTCGGCCGCAACATCCGCGAGCTGGTTCTCTTTCGCGACATTGGCGGCATCCGCTGTGGACAGGCTGGGGATTCCGAGCGGGTTGCGGTCATCGCGGAGTGGTCGCGGGGCAGGGCGGCTCTCCTTCCGCAGCCGCATAAGGATAAGTGTCTCCCTGGCTCGGCAGAAGGTCTCGCCCGGCGGCGCAAACCACGCTGCCTCGACGTCTGGATCGCCGTAGATGCGGTGGAGCGCTTCGCGGCCAGCTCTGGTCGTGAGATCCAGTTTGAGAATGGGAACTGCCTGGCGGTGCCGGTTGTTTGCCCAGTCAATGGAGAAAAACTGCGCACCCGTGCTGCATCATCTCATTCGAGAGCTTGGCGCTGCCAGCGAACACCTCCGCGAATTTGAATTGGTCATTCATCCGATCCCTGTCCGCGCCAGATGCGGGACTGCCTGCTGCGCTAGAGACAGCGGCGCCTCCACGGCGCTCCACGCCGCCGACGCTGTCGGCCCAGAATCGTTTCTATCAACACGTCGGCGTGGCACCTGCACCAGGTCGCACAGTAGCACACCAACCGTTTTCCCCCGAGCTCTGGCAGGCGTTTCATCATCTCGTCACTATTGCAGAGGTACTCTGCAAACTTGTCGATGGCCGCCTCGCGCGGCATCTCCTGGGAGATCTTGACAGGATTGGCCCAAAAGGAACGATTGGCCGACAATCGGCCACAGCCCCGGCCGACGTAGAGGTCGTCCAACCTGAGGGCCGCAGCTTCACTCGCGCATCCCCGGGTGGGCAAGGGGGCCCGCGCGGCCCGGCGACCCTGGGGGGCGCCGAGGGGCCCGCTGGGGGCCCTCACATTGGGCACTGCGAGACGCGGCGGTCGCCCCCGCACCCCTTCTTGCAGTGCACGCGCACGCCGCGGGGACACCTCCCGTTGCGCACCTGCTCGCGGCAACGCCCGCTGCTGCACCCGCAGCACATCGGCGTCTGGTTGTCTGGGAGCATGGGGACGCCGCCATGATCGAGAAGCTCCCTTCGCCATGTAGGGCGTCCATTTCTCGTTTATGTTATTTCCTTTGCGGGGCTCCGCGGCCGGCGGCGGCGGGGGTGGGGGGGCGCCGCCCTTCCCTCCTCCCCTGCGTTTGCCGGCGTTGTCGCCGCCCCGGTGGCGGCCGCGCCATGCCTCAGCCCCGACCGCTTCCGGCTTGCGTCAGCTGCCTGCGCCCGCCCTTGCGAGGGGCATCAAAACCATGTTCACCTCCACGGAATCAAAGATCTTCTGGACGTGGCTGTCCGTCGGCAGCTGGTCCCGCACGGTCGGCGGCCTGACCCCGCCAGCGCAATGCCTGGACATTTTCCTCCACGCCCCCTTGAGCGCGCTTCGGAGAGCGCCCAGCGTCGGCGGCCCGCACCTGTCGTCGGGGACCTCCCGCGCCAGGGCTGCGAGCAGTTTGTTGCGCGAGAGCTCGTGGCCCTCCAAGGCCGCGAGCCCGGCCAACTCCATTGCCAAACCCCTCCGCTGGAGGGCCCACGACACCTTGAGGGCGGAACTGACGTCGGCCATGATGGGGTCTTCGACGCTTCTTTCGCGCACCATGCCTGAAGCATCCGGGGGCCCCTTCTTCCTCCCAGGCTGCGCCGTGAGCTCTCGGTCGCGTTTGGGCGCCACCTCCCAGGGCACCCACTGCAAGGTGTTGTCTGACGAAGCGATCCACGAGAACGTTCGACGGGTCAAGCTCGCCCTCCATCTCCAGGCCGGCGTCCAGGCGTTTCCGCAGCGTCTCCTTCCTCGCCTCGCGCTCTGCCTGCGGGACCTTGCGGGGAGTGTCCTGGCCCGCGCGTTCCGCCCTGCGCCGTAGCTCGGACACGGACAACGCGTGGCTCTCGAACAACAGCATCCACACGGCCGCGGCCCTTGGCGGCAGCGGGTCTGCGGGGCCGATCTTGCAGAGCGGCCTGACGATGGCTGCTTCGCACCGCGTGTCTTCCGCGACACCACCAGGCCCGCTGGACACGGCAAGCGCGAATTTGCCGTGGGAGGCCCACCCGAGGTTGACGAACCGCTGGAAGAGGTCGCTCAACCCGAGTTCTTCGAGCCTCTGCTGGAACGCGGCCTGGGAGTCCACGACGCCGCGCAGCATGCTGGACGCGGTGGACACAGACAGGGGGCGGAAACTGCGCGATCAAGCCGTCAGGCTTGAGACTGGTAAATTTGGACCTGAGCCCAAGCGGCTACGGAGCGGGCGCGGGGGGGGGGGGCAATCGACCTTGCAGCGAAAGCAGCCGCCGAACGGCCAGAACAACCGCCTCCATCGGCCATTGCCCTGCGGCCCCTGCAGTTGCGGACGCGAAATGTAAGACCGTTCGGCCCCCTGAATTGTAATATATGTGTACTATATTCACATGCACATGTTGATGTCGTGTTCTTCCTCCTCCTCGCCACCCTCCACGCATGTTTTTTGCATGGGCGCCCTCTTATAGGGCGTTGGCATGGGCACTCCGCCCGCCAGGGCCTGGGCGCTCCGCCCACCATGGCTACCGCCCGAGCAAAGGTTTTCACCCCTGCCACGGGCCCAATGTCGGGAACTCCTCCCGAGCGCGAGCCCCCGCTCACTTCCCCATTGCTCCGTGCCGGAGCACATGAAGCGCACCGCTGCCGCCCGTAGCACGCGGGCACTCCGCCCGCCAAGGCCTGGGCACTCCGCCCGCCATAGTTACCGACCAGGCAGGGGTTCTCCACCCCTGCCTCAAGCTCAGATCGGAAGCTCCTCCCGACTGCGCGCCTCCGCGCACTGCGGCCACTGCTCCTCGCCGGAGCAAGTTAATCTCACTGCCGCTCTACCTCGCGGGCACTCCGCCCGACGGCAAACCTCGGACCGAAGATGGACTGGCATCGCCCAGACAGCGCCCCCAGTCGCCGCGTTCTTTGCAACATACCTGAACTCAGACACGCCGCGCGGGGCGCTCCGCCGCTCCGACGCGCTGCTTGCATCGCGGCTGGACAGGCGCCGCCAAACACGGGCGCCTCGCTGACCTCCCGGCCGCGCGCAAATCGACCGCCCGGCATACGCTCGCTCAGAGGCAGGAGGTGGCGGACGTGAGACTTTGTGTTGAAATACACGTCGTAGCCCGTGAGGACAACCGCGGACAACCGAGGGTTTCCTCCGGATCGTTGCCCACTGTCTCTGCGGCCGCCAACGCCTCGTGCTCCTCCGCCTCGTCAGAATTCCTGGTGCTCTCGCCGTCACTGACCTCGACCTCGGAGTCCGTGCTGGCGACATCGACCCCTGCTTCCGGGGCGTTGCGCCGCTCGCCCTGTTCAGCTGAGGGTGCGCCGACCGTCTCGCCCGACGGCGTCGGGGTCGCGGGGGGCCCGCGTTTGCGCCACCTCCCCGAGCGAGTCGCATCGGGGTCAAACTCCCCCACCGCAATCTGCACGAGCACGCCCTTGAGCTCTCGCAGAGGCCCAGCCATGGCGTCGCGAGACTCAATGACCGACTTGTCACCTGGTTTCACGTGCCCGCCCAACATGCGCCTGACGGGCAGGGGCGCTCCAGCTTTGGCCATCCAAGACAGCAAAGTGGCCTTGCAACAGTGTGACGCGTGGTGCCCCACCTCTGCCGGCTCCGCCCCAGTGAGAATGAGGCCTCTACGGAGCACGGCCGTGATCTGCGGGGCAGACGCCGGCACGTCGTGGACGATCACGCCGCCAGCGGACTCAGCTGGCATCAGGCACTGGCACTCGATGGCGCGCACGCCCGCTGCCCTCCGTACGCGGAACCACGCCTCTGCCCACGTCTCGATCGCGTCGTCCGTGAGCCCTTCTGCGATCCCGACCGCGGGGAGCCCAAGCCTGGCCCTCTTGAACCCTTTGGTAGTCTTGGCGCGGGCAGCCCGCACTTCTATGAAACCGTGGCCCGCTGACATATCGACGCACGGTTATTCCTCTACCTTGGCCAAATCCCGCGCCCTCGAACGGCCGCGAACAAGGTGGCACAAGAAACCAGCCTCAAGCCACGCACGGGGCGGCGCATCCATGGTCAGCGACTCAAGCACGCGCAAGTGCTGCACCTTCAGGGGGCGAGACTTGACCTCGAGGCGCTCGCGATGCCAACTCCGCGCCACGGCTCCACGCACCCGGGCGCCACGGGGCAAACCGTCCTCGACCTCCACGCCCAGCGTGCCGTGCACGAACAGGGCGGCCTCCAGAAATCCCTGCGCCCTCGTCGGTGGCGCGCCCGAGGCGCGAAGGTCTTCCACGCACTCATGCACCTGGCTCCCCGAGAGGGGAAAGCCGCATGTAGCTGAACCGAACCTGTCGCGGGACCACTGCGTGCACAGCGACGCGGAGCAAGCTCGGCGCACGAGCGCGTTGGTCGCCTTCCCGGCGAATGCGTTCACCAAGAGCTCGTGGACGCGCAGGTCGTCAGCCGCATCCGCTGCCTCCTGGTGGCAGCGGCAGTGGTCGCCAGCAGCGCGAGCGACGAGGAGCAGCTGCCCCAGCCACAACTCGCGTTCTGCAGCCTCCCGCTGGGGCACGGAAGGGGCCCGAAGGACGGCCTCCCTACGGGCCCTGGTCGGTCCCGCCGTGGCTGCGGGCCCCTGGGTCTCGGCGCCCTTCTCCGCGTTGCCCTCCCAGACTGGCAGCAGCGCGCGGGGAGCTGCCAGAGGGTCGGGGCTCGCAGCTTTCCACGGGAGGCGCACCGCGGGCGTCGGCGCGGCACCGCGGAATGGCCACAGCGCGTTCGCAGCGGTGCCTGGCCCCATGGGACCCTCAACCCCTTGGCAAATATTCCTGGAGCTGGGCGGCGCAGTGCTCCCCTGCCCCCCCAGCTCTCGATCCGAACGCTTACGGACGCAACTGGTGGCTGACCTCTAGAGTCCAACTTGCTGACCGAAACTGGATGGCACAAGTATCCACATTGCGCACCCGACACCAGGGCAGACGCATTCTCAAGGCGCACGTCGGACACTGTTTGCGACCCAAATATCCCAAACATTGCACCAGCTGAATGGCTGACCTACCGCACGCGACGGATACAACTATCTCCAGAGGTGCATGCGAGTCCAGGGCAAGCGCCTTCCCGAGGCGTCCATCGAAACTGTTCGTGGTGCGATCCCCAAAACAGCGCAGCATCTTCGCTCGACGGACGGAAAGGGCATGCGCACACTTGCGCGCGCATGTTCGCAGGATGGCATGAAACACAATATGCTTCGCATATGAAGTGCATATCCAGGAGCGCCGATGGTCCCAGTCTTCGGCGAGGCTCACCGGCGAATACATGTAATGCCCGTCCCTGGGCTGTTCGTCCCTATCGTAGCCTCCGATCCACCCCTGCGTGAGTGGCCCCCAGGCTGCTCTCCATCGCGGAGATTCACCGCCTTACACCCCCCCAGGGCACGCCTTGCCCGCCTCCGGCGGTTCGGAGGACGGCAGCCTCAAAGCGCTGGAGACCACGCATCAGCAGGCCTTCCTCGCGACGACTCGGCGCCTTCCCCCCGCCGACTCCTGCCCCGGGCGCGCGTGCCGAGAGCTGGCAGCCTCCCCGGTAGAGGTCCATGCTTTCCTCGCAGTGCTGGCCGGGGTTCTTCACCTCCGCCCATACCAGCGCATCACTCTGACACCCTGCCCGTGGACCCTCTTCAATGCGATCGCAAATTCCTCTCCAAGCTGGCGCGCAACTACCATCCCACGCTAGGGCGCGATGCCGGCAACATTTGCCTTACCACATGCATGGTGGCACTCCCTTCTCTACTTCCTGGGCCTGGGCCCAGAGGCTGGCCTCCCTCCTCTTACCGCGCACGTGGTCCAGCCCCACTTCCGCCCTCAGCAGGGCGGCGCCCGGTCGACAGGGCGGCCGCGCATCACCCCCATGGCCCATGACTGACGATAGGGAAACTGCAACAATCTTTCCCCCCGCCGACTGCGACTGCGCCCTCATCGCATGCCACCGCCGGCCGACGTCAGCACCGCCTTGCGGAACCCGCGCGCCCCTCGCAACCTG